AAGCAGAAAGACATTCCTTCTTTTTCAGATTTAGTGATTAAGAAACTTTGGGCAAGAGAAAAACAGTGAGGTTTTCATCATCTGCCTTTACTCCCATAAACTTCTCTTATGTTGTCTAGAGTTTTTTTCACAGATACTGGAAGGAATGGGGAGGAATGCAAAGAATGAAAAAATCAGATTTTTCAGATTTGTGTGGTTGCATTCATGGAGATTCAACTCATGTTTTGTGAAAAGTTCTATACAATGGGTGGCTAAACTAGAAAAACAGAGATCAGACCCCATAGGCAAGACTGCGATTAATTCAGCATTTGGAAAACGAACTAGAAGAAATGTCAGGCCAAGAGCATTTGATTGTAGCTAAATCATATAACAACTTTCAGAAGCACAGTCAGCTTTTGGGCAACTACTGTCTCTGGGATTAGCAGACAGACTTGGGGCATGGCTAGTTCCAAGAACTGTTAGAAATTGGCTACTAGCCTGAAGGGAAGAGCTATGGTATGCCAATGTAGTTTCACATATAGGGAAACAATTCCATTTTTTTTACTGCTAACCTTCTTTTGGGCTAGGAGGAAGTACTGATTGCAAAAATATTTCTGGGGTTTAACCAGAGTATAGAATTGTAATAAAGAATGGCTAACTAGCTTTTAGAAAACTGGCTTTTAGAAAACTGGCTTTTAGAAATGTGCTTCAGTGCCAACAGGTATTCCATAAATACCCAGGACATTTATGAACGGGACAATCATTCTTCTACTTGTAGTGGTCTGTGACATACCCTGCTCCTGAATTAACAATCTGTGAATCAAGAAGATTCTTTTAAGGAGACAACAGAATGGATCTAAGAACACAGGTAATACAGACACAAGGTAGGAATTCTCATCACCTACATTTAGAATTCTAAACCACAGAGAAACAGGCATATATTAGACAAGAAACGTAGATGTCCAAACCAGGTCTGATGAATTACGTCCCACAAATGCTTAATTTTCTCCATTAACTGTAAGGCAACCAGATGACTATCTTCCATAGAAGTATCTAAAATCAGGTAAAAAGAATCCCAACCCTATCAACATAGTCTTCACACGGCCCAAATGGGCAGCACAAATTCCCATAGTCTGACCCCAATCAGTGCATAATCCATCACCAAAATAGTATAGGTGACCTCAACAATGATGGATATTTGATAGAGCTTGCATCATGGAACCTTTGCTGAGAATGCTCACACTTTCCCTCATAGCCTTCACAAGTGTTCCTGTATTCCTCTTTGGTGCTAAGCTCTTGCACAGCAGTACCCATGAGTAATACTTTGTACTACCTCCAGTTGGCCAAGAGATTCTGTCCCACGCTGGTGCAATTTATTGGCCTCTATTATTCATGTTTTTGTCACCTCTTGTCTAGACTAAAACAATGCAATACTCCTGGGCATAGCGCCATCAGCCTCATAAGAAACTTAGAGCTAATAGAGAATTCTGGAGGAAAATGTTTTCTCCAGCAAATGAACAAAAATTGCCCCTTGTT